GGCCTGTGGTGCTCCCAGCGGGGAACTATAGGGCGAGACCTGGTGGGAAGGTCAATGGCCGGGCCCAGGCCCTCCCCTCACTCTCTGCCCCCCCACCTCCCTCCATGACAGCTGCTTCACCACTGGCCCCAAATCAACAAACCCAAGTAAGGACTGAACCCTCTGAAACCGTGAGCAAAACAAACCTCTCCTCCCTGTTACCCGATCCTCTCGGTGTTGTGTCAGTGACGGAGCTAACAGAAAACCGGGACCACAAGAGGGGACACTGTGACCTGCCTGAGGTGCAGTTCAGAGGAACTGGCTCATGGGAGGGGGTGGGCAGAGAAGCTCAGAAGCTGTCCACGTGGCTGGGCAGCTCCAGGAGGGGCTGAAGGACAGGAGGCCCAGGCACCCAGGAAAGGTTGTGTGCGTGCCCGTCCCGCTCTGGTGAGGACATGTCCAAGTCTTGTCCTTCCCCCAGATGCTGTAGGAGGCCGAGTTTAGGGAACACAGCCTGGGTTATCCGGCAGAGAAAGTCCAGGGCAGTGTGGCATTCGGGCCACGGCACAGTGCTGCTGGCTGCTTTCAGCCAGATGTGAGAATCCAGAGCACAACAGTGAACAGAGGGAGCTGAATAGCACATCGTTCGGCCAGAACAGGCGTGTGGTTAAAGGTGCAGCCAGGAGAACGTGGTGACCAAGGCTGACCGGCGCTGAAGGGAAGCCATGGCCGGTCAGGGACAGCGAGCCTCGGGCACCTCAGGGTCACCCTCCCGCCACAGGATGGGGGTGGGAAACTCTGGGCTCCCTCAAAGCCTCAGCCCGAGCAACCTGAGGGGCTCCCTGCTGCACCAGGGGGCACAGGGCTCCCCAACTGCCCCTCCAGGCTTCAGTGCAGACACGGGGTCTCCATTCTGTGGTTACACGCCCGGGAGTGGAACGGCTCGTCATGGGATTCGAGAAGCTTTTTCCCAGAGAATCTGCCTTCTACACATGGGCAGGGTTTTTTTGGTACCGGGGATCGACCTTGGGGTCTTGTGCTTGTGAGGCTGCCGGAACCACTCAGCTAAATCCCCGGCTAGGAGAGCTAATTTCGAGTCACCAAGACAAGGAGGCAGGAATAAAAAAACAACCTAGTATTAAAAAGGGTGAGCCCCGCAACAAAGAAAGCTAACGTGCGGAGCCCCCTCGTCAGGCCCCCAGTGTGCCAGTGTGACTCCCAGCCCAGGGTTCCACGGGGCGGGGCAAGAGTCCCCGCCAGTCTCTCGGGGAGCGAGGGCAGGGCTGGGAGTGACCAGTGGGGTGCCCAGCACACAGGAGGGTGGCACTGCCCATCAGACACCGCGGGGCCTCCCCGGCACTGAGGCACAATGAGGGCCTCGCCTGCCCTGGCTCCACACGCGTGGGCAGCCACCTGGCAGTGAGCGGAAGCCACGCTGGCTCCGGCAGAGGTCGCCATGGGCACGCAGGGCGATGGCTCGCTGCCCAGGGCCCACTGGCCGAACCCGCCGGTGCGCAGGCGGCACCCCAGCCACACGGACCCATTCACACAAAGACATGAAACTCCACCTGTAATCCCAGCACTCAGGAGGCTGAGGCAGGAGAGCCTGTCTCAAACCACAGAGAAAAACAAAGGTTTAAAATTCTGTCCCTAGACCACACCAGCCACGGTCCAGTCTTCACTAAGACTGGATGAGGTCACAAAGTGAAGTCACCTAGCGCTTTCTGAGCACTTTATTCACATGTGTTTGCAGCAACACCGTGCAAACCAGAACTCCAGCAGGGGCGCTCCTCTGCGCTGACCCTGCCCTGCATTTCAGACCAATCCACCGCTTTCCTGTGGTGCCACGGCGCCCCCTTGTGGAAAGACGTGGGACTGTGCAGCCACAGGTCTCAGACCGCTTGGAGCGACGCCTAAACCCGCTGCTGCGGACACCTAACACACACACACGCACGCACGCACGCACTCTCACTCCAACCACGGCAGCCTGTGCTGAGAGTGGCACTATCCGTCACAGGCCTGTCCCGCGAGTCAGGACGCGGCAGTCTCCAGCTGAGAGCTGCTGCGGGGACTGGGTTCTGCGCGCCCTGCCGGCCCTCTGGTCACACAAGCACCGCGCTCCCAGGTCTGAGGCCACGCCGCCGTGCTGTCCTCCTCCGGCTCCCCCGTCCCTGCTCCTAGGCTTCCTCCTACACAGCGCTCTGCGAAGGTCGTGGTGTGGCTGCTGGCTCACACTCAGGCAGGGACACTTCGCAGCGAGCGGCTGCCCATTAGGAGAGGACCCTGACACCTGGCTGGGAGCGGGCACCTGCACTGGGCGGCCTCTGCTTCCGGGTCAAGCCGCCACCAACCCGAGAGAGAATCGCATCAGAACAGCCCGGAAGACACTTCCAGCAGAGGCGGCTCTGCGGCTAGGCCAGGCCTTGGGCAGCCCCTCGCTTCTCCGGGGTCTGCCGGTCATCAGCACTACGCGCGCGGCCCTGCAGGGTGGGAGCAAGGGCGCATTTCTATTAAATCCCCAAGGAGACCGTGGACACGACAGAGTTCAGCACTGAGCCCCGCCAGGCCCACTCGGTCGGCTGCCTGCTTCTGCTCGGCCGCGGCCTCTTCTTGCGTGGTCCTGGCCATTCCTGCTTATCCTCTCCCACTGTATCCTCTGCGGCGCTCACAACCCTGGGAGGCCACTTAATGCGATGATGCCGTGGTTTGACTTTGACCCTTTCCCTTCCAGAGGTCCTGGGCTTCAGCTCAAGAAATATTCAGAAGATTGAGCCACTGCAGGACAAAACGGCTCCCCGCTTAAAAAGGTAGGTGACATGCAGACATCAACTGAATCATCTAACGCTCTCTGCCAGGAAAATAAAGGCCTCAAAAGTTTGCATGATTGGAATAGGCGAACTCAATTTAGAGACAAGTACTCAATTAGTGAAGCTCTCCCTGCTTTCTCTAGAACAGACGACAGATGTGAGACCTACAACCGGCCTTCAGGACATTACCCGAGGTGACAGTGGTTTCCCTGAGGCAGACGAGTGTCCACGGGAAGCTTTCTCTAATGCTTGCACACCTGGCTTTTAACCTACTGCACGTTCCGATTGCTTAAAATGAAAAGGCAGCCAAGAAAGGAGGAGAAACCCTCCTGTCTCGCTGGGTTTCATACACTTTATTTCCTGAGGCCAGGACGAGATCCCTGGACTTCGAGGAGAAAGTCCAAGGCCAGGCAGGTATGTGCAGGGCTGCAGTAAGGGTGGCCGCTCTGCTACACGGCAGCTGTGACAGAGCCATCACCAGGCCACTAGGGTCTGCTGCAACCCCTGGACATGGCCTCGCCCGTCATGGAGGACTGTGCTGGGTCCCGATAATATGCCCTACAGCCTCACTGTCCTCCTCCGCCCTGGATGAAGGTCAAGGGTCACATCTGGCTCCCACAGCACCTGACAGACCTTGGGTGGGGAACAGGAAGACCCACATGGTCAGGATTTAGGTTCCGATTCCGACTCTGACTCAGTCTGTGGCTTTTTACAAAGAAATCACTTAGCTTCTTGACCCTGACACACACCAAATGGGGACAACTGGTCCCCTCCCGTCCAGGATGCCCTGGGGAGGCTGAGGCAGCAGATGGAAGTGGTCGCTGAAAATTTAGGACCTTAAATTACTGGAGTTCTGTCCTAGGAGAACCAGGGAGCTCTTGGAAAGGCAAGTGAGCGGGACACTGCTATCCAGGGACATTGGCCCCCATGAACTATAAAAACCATCCCACGTGGACAGAACCCCGGGCACATCTGGATGGCTCCAGTCACAGCGTCCACCACTTGCCTACCCATACCATTTTTTCTGACCTGCAGCCCCACACCAGCGTGGACCTGCAGCTCCCAGTGGAAAAGACCTCACGCGCCTGTCGGTCCACAGGTCAGCCCGACACCAGGTGCCACACCACATGCACCCTCCCTGTCCCACAAAGGCAGGCCGAGGACACAGACTTCACACCATGCTGGGACTGCAGAGCCTGCCAGCCAGGTCCAGCCCGTCCATGGCTGCAGACAGCACCTGGAAACCATCCCTGCCTGCTCTCGCAAGGAGGATGCTAGGCTCTGGCAATGACCTTACACGGCCCCCCTCCATGCAGGCCCACCAGTCGCTAACCTCAAGCACAGCCCAGGACAGAGATGGCCCCATCTCACAGATGTGAAGACTCAAACACCAACTGCAGAGGACCGCAAAGCCGAACCTCTTCAGCCTCCTCGTCCCCAGGAAATGGAGAACAAGCCCACATTCCAACGTGTCTAGGATTTAGGATTCTGGCAGCAGCCTCCAGGGGCAGACCCTACTGTCCCTACAAACTCCGCGTGCATGATCTCATGGAACAGAACACGGGAGGCTGTGGACTGAGGCAGGCCTGTGCCTGGCTGGGTAAACCCCGGGCACACAAGAGACCACCATTAGGCGGGGGGCAGAGGAGGAGGATGTAGCCACATGGGCGCACAGTTACTCTGTGCAAAACAGTGCAGAGGGGTGGGCGGGCAGTGTGTGGCCCGAGCCTGTTTCCAGAGAAAGCAGGCTGGGTGTGAGACACTACAGAGCCATGGAAGAGGGCCGGGAGAACAATGCTCCCCAGAGGAACCGGGGCGGTGGTGCAGCCAGTGTTCTGCTTTGTAGACCTGTGTCTGTTTGACAACCACTTATGAACAACAGCAAATTCCAAACTAAAAAGGATTTGGAGACTGATTTTCTGAAAGGAAGGGAAGAGTTCAGAGACACCTGGAGAGGAAGTGTCAACCCCTCTTTCTGCTTGGCCAGTGTGCACACTGAGGGATGCCCTGCTGCAGAGCGTGCTCTGCACACCGTGACTGTGACACACAACCGAGCTGCTCCCTCAGAGCCTTCAGAGGCCACGGCCAGGCAATGGCTCTGTTCCCAGACCACGTCACAATGACAGAGATGCCGAAATGAAGGCTTTTGTAATTACAGTTCTTCAGCAGCACATGCATAAAATAGAAACTTGGACAAAACACATGACTAAGCTGTGTGGTTGTGCTGTACTTTATTCAAAGTGGGCCCTCAGGCCTCATCCCTGGAGAGAACCAAAGCCTGGTGTCCAAATATGAACACCCGTCAGTACTGAAAAATAATCTTCCACTCTGTGCTCCGACCCGAATTTGGCACAAATACATCACACGCAAGTCAGATGCGGACAGCCGGGCGGGGGTGATGGAATCCAGAGGCAGCGCGAACGCTGGCTGTGACGCGTTCCTTCTGCTGCCCGCGGGCTGTCACCTCTGAGTCACACACACAGCACAGCTATACACAGCTAGTTTATTCTCTCCTGCGGGTGCGGACAGTGCTCAGACCGCATGAAGCAGCATTCAGAAGCACAGCCGGAAGAGCGGCACATCTCTACATCACAGGTCAGGAACTACTGAGCTACGACCACGCGTACAGTGAGCGGATGGTGTGAACCTGTGTCGCCCGTCCGCAGGGCTGAGCGCCACAATGACAGTGTAGCGAGTGCAGACCACAGGACCAAGGGACAAGAGCTGCTCTCCAAATAAACTACTCTGTTCATAAATAAACTCTGATTTTTTTTTAGTTCACATTTACAGACCTGATCGATAAAAAGAAACAATATATATATTCCCTTAAAAAGAAAATGAAGAGACATGGAGCACAGTGCAGAACTCACCCAGGGAGCGGGGGTGCAAGCAAAGGAGAGTTAAAGTACACCGTATACAGCACAGCACACACTGACACACAACAGAACGGTCCAGGAGCAGCGTGCTCTACTTGAACTCCAGCAGGTTGCAGTCGATCTTGTAGTACACGTAGGGGTAGTATTCCTGCTGGCTCAGGTTGAGACCGGGAATGTCCATCGGAGCCTGCAAGCATAAGCACAGGGATGTGCCATGGAACTGGGGAGAGCGCTGCCCTTGTCTTCTCTGGGAATCCGCCAGGGCAGACACTCGGGCCCTGCTGCTGAGGTGGGCACCAGGCCCTCCCTCCTGCAAGGAGGAAAAGACTGCCTTTCCTGGGCACAGAGCACCAGAGCCTCTCTCGAGCTGCGTCCAAAGCCTGTGTCCACGTGACCAGGCCCCACTGTCCCTGGATGCAGACTACAAAACCTTCCTTTCTAAATCTCAGGCTTACAGTGCAGTGGACCCCTGACTTACAAACTCAATCTGTTCCCAAGGGCCGGTTATAACTCAAGTTGGTCAGTGAAGGCACAGGCTCCTACATAGCCTTCAAAGTCTCTCTCCTGTACAAAGGCAGACCTGGGTCCTTAGAAACTGGCCCAGGATTTCTCAGTTAGGCCCACACAAGAAAGGATGTTGGAATGTTCCAGAACTCTTTATGGGTTAGATCTGTATCTGACACCATCTGGGAGCACAAGTGGCTGGCACTTAGATGGTAACTCAAGACTTTGGTAGTAAGTTAAAACTAAAGTGCCAGTCATAACCCAAGTTGTTCGTACGTCAGGCCAGTTGTAATTTGAGAGTCCACTGTTTTGGGCTTATACAAGGCTTACCAAACATACAAAAATAAGCCAGTACATTTTTTTTTAAAGATAGCTCTTATATACACATGTTGTCATAATCCACATGTATCAAACAGCTAGACTCATTTTATCTGCATTTCCTTCAGTTTCTTCTATCAAGAAAAAACAATTTTTTACAATTCTAATTAATGCACATGTGAGATTCTAGTGTCAGAAAGGAAAAAAATCAGCAAGAGGTGGAAATATGAAAAAAGCCCATTTTAGAAAAATGACTGTTCCTTTTAAAATGTGGCGTCTGACTGCTGCTTCTCCTGAACAAAGCAGCTGCTCAGTCCCCTCTGCCGCTTCCAGGTTCCGCAGCACTGCCTGGTGTCTCCGCCATGCGGCTGCGGCTGCGCTCGCGGTGGACAGCGGGCAGGGCTCGAGACTCCAGGAAGCTGGCCGCCACGGGAAGCGCCCGCTGTGGAGGGCTCCAGCGCGGAGAAGGGGCCGGGGCTGCACGCGTGTCCGCCTTGTGCCCACCTCCCAGCCTCCCGCCACTTCCTCATCCGGCCCCACCTCCACGCGCCTGCGCACTCACATCGATGATGGCGGCCGCGCTGCTGTCCAGGTGCTTGTACAGCTCATGCAGCACCTCCCGCAGCTTCTTCATGGTTTTCTTGTTGGGCTGCAGCAGCATTGCCTGGAAGTTCACGGGAAGGCCGTACCTGTGCAGCGGACAGACAACGCGATGTCAGCGCGGGCGCAGGGACAACGGTGCAGAGGCGACTCACCGGCATGACCAAGCCCACAGCCGTCCACCAGGAACCTCTCTATAAAATAACTTGTCCCCACCCAGCGTATAAGGTACTGAGCACGCTCCGGAAGTAAGGACGCGTGTAAGGCCAGTGGATTCTTTTGTAATAAACCACTTGAGGCTACATCTACTTTGAAAAATTTAAGAAATGTCAGTCAACATTTCTTAACAGATCAGTCACTTCTTAGAACTATTTTCTAACAGGACAAAGGGACAGAGGCTGCAAGGTGAGACCTTCAGCATCTCAGGATACTACAGTATCTCCACTGAGTGCCAGAGATGTCAGTCAGTGCCAACTACACGCCAGACATCGATGGCCCTTCCTTCCTACCAAACTCGAACCACTTGAGCTCAAGGCTGGGCTGTGCCATTTCTGCTTGGTGACGGTGCACACCCAACTCTGACTCCCTGGAGATCTTCACAGGACAGAGGAGCTCCTGGCACCCAGGGAGGCCACAGCGATGTGCTCCCCATGCAGTGTGGTGACACTGGGCGCACAGACCACTGTGCTGCCAGCCACACGTGCAGTGAACACCGTGACTGTCCCGGGCTTGGTATTCACTACCTCGTCCATTACTACTCTAGAGCAGACGCCTTCTAATTTCAGCTTTCAACAAAGTCCCTGTAACAGCCCACACGTGACACAGGCGGCTGCCACATGCAGCTCATGTTTCCTCCGAGTCTCTAGACAGAGTCCTATGCACCAGCCAGGTGCCGAGGGCATGGCCCCAAATCTCCAACTCCCTAAATTAACCTTGCTCAAAGCCATCCAGGACAGCAGCACCAATTTCTGCCCCCAATGCAGAGAATGGGGCAAAGGCACCCTGAGCAGCTGTGATGCCGTGGCCTCTACCTCCTGCAGCCCTCTGCTTCCTCCACACCAGCCCCTCCTGCAGGAGTCTGCCACAGGACAGAGGCCCAGGGAGCACTTCAGCATCAGCAGACACTTCTCGCCTCACCTGAGAACAGACTCCACAAAAACTCTTAACGCTTTCACGTGAATCCACGCAATAAATGCTTCACTGAAATTCACTTTCAGCCACCGCACAAGTGGTCCCTTTAAAAAGGAAAAAAAAGGATTACCATGAATCTGGTCTTGGAAGTGGCAAAAAGGTCAAATCTTTTCAGAGCAACTAGCTATGGTGACCTATGGGAGAATTAATGCACGAAAGTCCCTTTTTGAACTTTCACGTATTGTTAGCATTACATTGGATGTCAGATTATCTTATCGCAGGGCCTTAGATGAGATGAACGGTTACCGACCATTCAGCAAGCCTGTGACACTAGAGTGAATTAAACCAACTCACTAACAGAGAAAAAGATACATTTTTACAAAAGTAATTTAAACTGGTGCAAGTGGTTTAAGCAGGTGTCCTGGTTTGAAAACCAAAATATAAAAATCTGAATGTACTATAAAATAAAGCATTTACTATGCGAATATGAAAATAACTTCTCAGAAACAAAGATAAACAGCTGTGAAAGTAAATTGTTCTTGAAGGGCGCACAGGGAATGGGGAAAAAATAAGAACCAAGATACATCAGGTTCAGGTACAAGCACCCAATGATAAACGTAAACGTATTGTATACCTAAAAGGTACCAGTAAATATATATTAAAAACAAAAAGAAAGTAAGTCGTTCAACATCCTTAGTCTTAGTTCTCTCGTCTGCAAGACTGGGAGATGGGGATCTCTGAAACCTCTTCATGGCCTACACCTGCAGCAATTCTGTTATGTATTCTGGCTGGCTGGCTATCGGCAGTACTGGAGACTGAACCCAGGGCCTCCACAGTGAGCATCTCGATATCCCCAGCTTTTTCCATTTCTTATTTTGAGACAGGGCCTAAGTTGCCAAGTTGCCCAGGCTGGGCTCCAACTTCTGACCCTCCTGCCTCAGCCTCCCAGAGTGTGCCACCACACCTGCTTTAGAATATTTAGTATGATTAAATACTTTTAAAAAAAAAGACTTTAAATAATCTCTCCTCTCACACTTCAAAGAAATGTACTGTCAACCTGGCTAACATTTGGAGAACACTATGAGGCTCACGGTGATGTACCAACTAATTAATTTAAACAAAAAGGATAATACAACAAAGGGAAAATATTTGGTCAAAATATCTCTTCTTTGAACAGGTTCTGTATCCTCCCTAGTAAGGTGGTTACAGCCCTGGTTAGGGACATTCTTCCCCTGGAGACATGGACACGGTCTGGGAAATACCTGGGTAGTCTCATCGGAGCTGCCTGTTCCACTCCTCTAAGTTCCCGTCACACAGCGCCATCTCCTCGGCACCCTCACTGGAGGAGGCAGGCACCCCATCCCCCATCCCTGCAGGGCCTCCACTCTGCACCAAGGTAAAAGTGAATCACTTTGCTGAAAGCCTGAGGCAGGAGGAGCTGGCCTCGAGAAAGGAGCGCCCTCGAGAAAGGAGCGTTCTTACTGCGAGGAGAACCTCTCACCCGCAGATAGCCTTCACAGCAACACTGAGCAGACACCTGCATTCCAACTCTACTCAGCAGATGCCTGCATTCCAACTTGGCAGAGCACTTCCCCTGGGGGCTAGGTAACTACTCAGAGAGCTAAGCCTGTCTAGAGGAAACGCACTCGGGCTGCGCGACACAAAAGTAACACCGGACAACTTCTGTGTCTGTCAGGGGAAGCAGTGTCCCCATCTGGGCTCAGCGCAGCAGCAGCAGGACCGGGACACGTACGAACTGCTTCTTCTTGTCGGTAGAGAGCCGATTCATTTCCTCCTTGTCCGCCTTCATCTCCTCCTCGTTATACTGAAAGTCTCGAACGATGAATCTGAATTGGGGGGAGAAAACAGATCGATCCACACCACCGACACCTCTCCAACACAATGAAGAGAGCAGCAGCAAAAGGAACTCACTTGTTCTCCCTGGCATTGTGTCGGAAGTCATCAACCGCCTTCCTGAACAGGGTGACATTGCAGAGGTAGCTGTCTTGGTCCTCTGAGAGAACGCTAGGGCACAAAGAATCTCATTTCAACCGCTCTGCCCTCAGCGCCGTCTTCCTACCAAGGTGGGATTTGGGAGGGAGGAACCGCAGGGCACCACAGGCCTTCCCAAGCCACCAACGCCTCTGCTCCAACAGAGGCGCCTCAGGGTTACGTCCGGGGAGGCTTTGGTGCCCATGCCTCCGCTCCCTGCATCGCCCCACTCCTTATGAGCCAACACAGTCGGCCACCAACCGGGACTGAGCACCCTCAGACGCACGCAGACTTCTTGGGCACCAGGCTGCACCCACTTTCCTGGGTCGTCCATACCCTCTCCTGCCCGTCGACCAACCTCGCAGCCCACCCCGGGCCAGGTGACTGCTGCTCATGCCCAGGCTCCCTCCTGACCCAGGACACGTCGGAGCGGCCACTCTGTGACTTCCCCAGGAAGCCCCTCCCAGACACAGGGACGTCAGAACGCAACCAGACTGGGCTGTGGCAGCGTGGGGAAGCCACTCCTTGGAAGGACAAGCTGCAGGGCTCCTCAAATAGGGACTCTGCTGCTTCCCAGAGACCCACCGGGCGGCTCCTTGGGGACAGCACCCTGGCAGGGACCATGCAGCCGCCTGGCAGCAGGGACCCAGGGCCCTTTTCTTTTCCGCCTTCCGCATTCTGAGGGTTTCTAAGGTTTGTGGCTTTTTAGCAAACCCCTTTACCGAGGTATAATCATCAGACAAAACCACACGGGCTGGGTGGACACAGCAAAGTCTGAAGTCGAAACCAGCGCCATCATGTCCTACACCTGCAGCTCCAGGTACCCCTGGCTCCCTGTGATTTTGTTAACTTTTAGTTCTCATTTACAATGAGGCACTCCCGATAAAGTAAGTTTCCTAAAACTGAAGGAATGCCTATGGGCTTTAAAGATACTTCAGGGGTTTTTTGGGGGGTGGGGGGGTGGGACAGGGTCTCACATGTAGCCCAGGCTGGCTTCAGACTCATGGCAATTCTCCTGCCTCTGTCTCCCGAGTGCTGGGAGGACAGGCGCATGCAACCACACCAGATCTTTGTTAAACTTTATTTTTTAAAAAGCAATTCGCTGGGTGTGCTAGCACCTGCCTGTCATCCCAGCACTTAGGAGGCTGAGGCAGGAGGATTGCTCTGAGTTTGAGGCCAGCCTGGGCTACACAGTGAGTTAAAGGCCAGTCTGAACTGCACAGTGAGAACACCTCAAAAAAAAAAAAATAATAATTAAAAAAACAATAAATAAATAAATAATTAAAAAATAAAAAACGTCTCACCTTTCTCGGCAGCCTAAGAACTGTCAGTGAGCCAAATGCACCTGGAGACAGCATGGCCCTGACAGGAATGGCTGTCCAAAGTGGCCCCGCAGCGCCCGGCCCCGTGAAGTGCCCATCGCGGTGACACTGAGGCCAAAACCTCCGTTATGCCTTGCCAGGCTGCTGCCCACAGTTCTTGATCCTTGTACACAAAGCCCGAGGAAAGAAAGCTGGCTGACCCTCTGGTCACCAAGAGGGCCTCCGAGACACGCGAGCTTCACAGCCAGGGCCCTGTGTGGCCGCAGTCCCCTCAAACTGACACGTCGCCTGCTACTCTGAAGCCGTTTCAAAGCACTTGATGCTTAGTGTGGCCAGCAAAGTCATACAGTGAGCTCAAAAGCCTGATGGCCAAAGAAGCCAAGTGAGCCAGGCATGGTGGCGCACACCTGCGATCCCAGTACTGGGTAGGCTGAAGCAGGAGAGGGGGACCGCAAGTTTGAGGCCAGCGTGGCAATTTAGTGAGATCCTATCTCAAAGATGAAAAAGGAGGCCTAGAGGTAGAGCCCAGGGCCATCATGGGTGAGGCCCTGGGTTCGATCCCTAGCACTCCCCCAAAAGCCAAGACAAAATGCAAATCTTCTTTTATGATTAGATCCTGCTAGTCACCTTATCAAAAGTAAATAAGCCGGGTGTGGGACACACACCTGTGATCTCAGACTCGGAGGGTGAAGCAGGAGGCTTGCCATGAGTTCAAGGCCAGCCTCTAACTAAACAGGCAGACCCTGTCTCAAAAACAGCAAAGAGCAAGTCCATGAAGGGCACCTGGCTTGCCTTCTCTGTCCCCAGAGAAAGTACTGCAGAGCTCAGGATTATAGCCACGCCCAGCAACCGCAGCCCGGGAGCCACTTGGCGCGCACCGAGCTGCAGCCACGAGACACCACCCCTGCCCATCGGAACGGATCCACACGGGGCCTGTACTCGCTGCCAGCACTCCGAATGAGAGGTGTGTGAGGCCCGCCCGGTGTGTGCTGGGGGGGGGGGGGCCCCCCCGCGGTGGGTGGGGGGGGGGGGGGACACTCCTGGAGGAACAGGTGTGTGGGGCAGATAGGCAGCCAGCAGGGCAGTGCAGAGGAGAGGAAATCCAGGCCAGTGCAGAGATGACAAGGTCAAAAGCAGTTCTGTGAGAGTGCAGATGGCGGCGGGGAAGGCCTGGGAGAGACAAGGGACAGGTGTGGTGGCCTAAGGTCCAGCCCTCAGGAGGCAGAGGCAGGAGGTGAGACCGGTCCAGGCGACAAGGGACACAATGTCAGAAAACAAACAAAGAACCCAAACCAGGGGGCTCAGAGGTTCAGACTCCAGGAGTAAGTCCTTCAGAGAGGCCGAGAGTGTGGAAGAGAGCAGCCTGCAGACACCAGCAAAGGTGCCGACCTCAAGATCCGCAGGAAGGTAAGGATTTCAATCCCAGGCACAGCCAGCAGTGACGGAAGTGACATAGGCAGCCGGAAGCTCCGCCTCTCCCGGAGGAAAGGGGCACCAGGCTCCTCCCAGACAGACCCATGCCAGCAGGAAGTGGGCACCCAGCTGCCTCTTGGTCTCTGAGGGGTCCCCCACTCCACCCCATCCCAGCCTAGCCACCTGCCCTGCCCTGAGACTCCGAGATTCGGAGGAGCCTGCACACTTCCGTGCCTCAGGCTCCTGAGCAAGGCGAGCTGCTACTTCCCACCACGAGGACCCACCCCACGCCAAGAAGATGCTCCACGCCGGCCGGTCCCCAGCCCACAGCCAGGCTTTCTTCTACTTTAAAAAAAAAAAAAAAAAAAGTTATATGTTTGAGAACTAATCAGACTTTGTAAAAGCCAATGTAGGAAAGAGGAAAGTGGTAATTCTGCAGGTATGATGGAGGTGCCTCTCTCGGAACAGCATCCCTAAGCAGCTGCCATCTCTGCCTCAGGCTGCAGCCGGACGTGTGGGTATGCACAGCCCTGGCCCTCACCACAGGCGGGCACCAGGGCCTATCTTTTAGGACTAATAGAGAACAACGGCCTGCAAATATCTAGACTCTGTGCATTCTAAAAATGAAATTATCAGCCGGGAGTGGTGGTGCATGCCTGTGACTCTAGCACTCTGGGAGGCTGAGGCAAGAGGACAGTGAGTTCAAGCCCAGCCTGGGCCGCTCAGCAATTCAGCAAGACCCCATCTCAAAATAAAAAGTAAAAATGGCTGGTGATGCAGTTTGGTTCAAAGACCCAGATTCAATTCCTAGTACTAGGAAAAAAGAAAAGAAAAGAAATGTATTTCTTTTAGACTCGAGGATAGTATTTTTCAACCTGTTTTTCTACCTCCAAATTCCAATTCTTGTGTGGGCTGATCCCAGGCCTCACTGTGCACAGCACGCGGAGAGGATCAAGTGAAGTGTCGCCGTCTAGAATTCATCAACCTGGCTGGCATGAAGCGCTCCAACATCAGGCACACAGCACATCCGCGAAGACCTTAGTTAATAGTTACTATGCTGACCCAAACACTTCCATAGCCAGCTGCTGATCGGAGGAAATCAGGCCAAGCCCAGCCCACCTTCCTGTGCTCCTGGGGCAGCAGGCAGAATAGCCATCTGCTTGGAGGAGCAGGCCCAGGACTGCAGGAGAGGAGCGTGCCCTGCCAGGTCACTGGGCGACAAGCATTTGTGATGACTCTTCGCACCAGGTATTTCCCCCTTCACACTGCTGAGTGACCTGCACAGGGCCCAAACCCCCGGAGTAACGCACTTACAGCCCTCCTTCCTTACGGAGCAAGTAGGGGCTGCCCTGACCAGCCCAAGGCCTATATCTGTGTGCCCACCCGGAAGGTCGCGGTGCCTGCGTCCTCACCCTTCCTCCTCTGCCTCCTGCATGTAAAGTCAACCCCACAGCCCTTGTCCCCCGGTGAGAGTGCAGGGCGCCCCTCCATCAGGACCTCATGAGGAGCACAGGTCTGTGGTTCCGTTCTCTAAAGAGCAGCACCCACAACACGACACCGTTACATTCCTTGGACTATCAAGCCTGCAACCTGCCAGCCTCGGAACACAGCCAAGGGAACGGCCTTGCTCATTTTACAGAGGAAGGAAATGAGGCCAGCGGAGAGGCTGACCCCAGGACACACAGCAAGGTCCCATTACACACTGAGCCACTGGCCCGTGACACCATGACATGAGGAGAGCAAGTGCACCACGCGCCCGACCTTACTAACACTGCCACTCCTCCACCTGTCTTTCACGATGTTGTCTCCTTGGGAACTGTGGGTGCAGATACACAGTATCCAGGACTTTCTCCAAGCACAGCTAGTGTGGTGGTGGCGGAGGGCAGGGGAACTGTCCCGGAGCAGAGGTAAGAGCGTGTGGGACAGGGAGTTCCGGTCCTCGAATGCTGTGGACACCACATAAGCTCTGCCTTCCCCATCTGAGAGACAGCGACTTCCCAAACTGCTTCACAGGCAGTTGTACCTATTAAACTCCACACTGTACGAAGCCTGGAAATCCGTAAAAAGGGTTCTTAAGGAATGGCTTGACCTGGCAATATCAGTGGAGGTCAAGGCAGTGCTCACATTAGTGGCCACCTGGGACACTTCTTCATAAGGTAAACTGAGGAATCAGGCATGTGGTGGGCAGCCTAGGGCACAGAAGGTCCCACCCCGGAGATGAGGGTTCCAGTCCTGGCCCTGCCAAAAGCAGCGCATGAGACGCTGGCCTTGGCTTCCCGTCTGCAAACTTAGTGGGTCACACAGTCTGAGCCAAGTCCCTTCCAGGTCCAAAATCGTGATTCCTCACGTTAGCAGAGCTCACTGCTCAGGTCAAAACGATGCTTCTGGAATTATAAATTACCACAAAGTAGAGACAACCCCCAGACTGCTAAGAGGGATCTAGGAAGCAGACGGTTCCGCAAAGACCACCACTTACTTGCTCGACCTGGGCACCACCATCTCGGCCAGTGTCTCATACTGCTTGATCCAGTCGTTGTGGTTCAACCTGTAGGAAAGGTAGGGTGAGCACCAAGCAGAAGGCCGGGCCCGCTTCCTGCCAAACCCAGGAAGAGAAAAACCAGGGGCAAACAGGAAGTGTGCCTCAGCTAACCAAACATTCAGGCTTCCCACTGAGAACTTTCCAATACTCTGTGGCAGCCCAGCCAGCCCCCAGTCCAGGGGCTGCCCAAGAGGCACTGTCAAGTAGTGCCTGGAGAGGAAGCAGAGCCAGGGGCCACTCCCCGAGGTTTCCCAGCTCGCTGACGCCTCATGTGAATTTAAAAAATAGCCCATAGCAAAATCACTGTCATTTCTGACTGTGGCCAGTATGAAGGGCTGAGTAAAACTATTTACAGAAAGCACAGAGGGGCCTGGGGATTCAGCTCAGGGGCACTGCGCCTGCCTTGCAAGGACAAGGTCCTGAGTTCGATCCCCGATACTGGAAAAAAAAAAAAGCAAGCACAGAGGACAGGAAGCAGGGGTCACTGTGTCCCCAGAGGCCCTTGTGCAACAGCCCTCTCTGGAGGCCCCTGCCCCAGATGTGGGGAGAGGCAGCTGTGTGTGAGATGCAAAATAAAGAACACAGAATTGGCAGGCCAGCATGGAGTAACGTAGTGCGTCCAGCCCATAGTGCGTCCAGCCCCGTGTTTCAGCTACAAAGTACGGAAAACTATGAGAGGTCCTGGTTTTAAACATCAATTTTATTTTATTTTATTTTTTATTTTTTTGGTACCGGGGATCGAATTTGGGTCCTTGCGCTTGCGCAGCAGGTGGCGAAACCACTGAGCCAAATCCCGGGCCTAAACATCAATTTTAAATCATATCTGAATGAGACAAAAAGAGGCAAAGGTGATTTTCCTACATAGTTTAAGAGCACAGATACATAGAGCATTATAAAGTATTCCAAAACAGCAGAAAAATTATGTGACTACAACACAAAACCCTTAGTTTACACCCTTCTACATGTCCAAAGAAAAATCTAAAAGCTTACATAATATTGTAGCACTGGGCCGGGGATTTAGCTCAGTGGTTCTGCCGCCTGCCTCGCAAGTGCAAGGTCCCGAGTTTGATCCCCAGTACAAAAAAAATATTGTAGCACTGTGAACCCCACAGAGGTGCTTTCCCTCTCTTTGTTTCTAGTACTCAGGCCCCTAAGCAGATCAAAATGCGAAACTTCGAAGTAAAAGAGGCTTCATGCAATCAAGCTCTGAAGACACCCTAAGTCTCCCCACACAGCCCAACAGCCAGACTTCAGTGTAAGATGTGGCCTGAGCTCTGATCTACCCGAGTGCTCAAAAGCTTCGTTTTACCAAAACTGACCAGATACTAACAGAGAAGGCCTGAGCAGAAGACCTCAGGGGTCTGCAGCCCAAGGGCAGCGCACCACACCCAAAGCAGCAGCCTACGTGTGGGAAATGACGTTCTTCTGGAACCCAGCTCCACCCACTCATCTCCATACTGTCTGTGGCTGCTGTGGCTCCAGCCGCAAAGCGGACACTCAACGCAGCAGTGGCAGAGATCACGCAGCCAGCAAAGCCAAAAATACCTCCATGTCCAGTGCACAGATGCGTATTATCGGGCCCTTCACAGAAAATAATTTGCTCACCCTAATCTAATCCATTCTGTGCTTCTATGGGGCTTTAATTCAGCCCAACTAGTCATAAAGATTTTTCAGAAAAACAAATCAAAAGGTTTTCTTCTTAGTTTGAAAAATCTAAAATCTAATTTTTAAAAATCCCACTAATCTAGCACTTTTTGTTAAGGAGTCAATTCTATCAACCTGAAGTTATAACTGTGTCTCCATCAGCGGCTCAAGAACTAAATTCTACTGCTGTACGTGCCGCAGGAGGAAGTGCTTGGTGGCAAGTCGTGTTCCTTTTACGTATTTTTTCCTGAAAACTCCAAACCACAGTACCAGATACTAACAAGGCGACACATACTTGGGAACGACCACCAGCAAGGTGACAAGATACTCCGAGTCAAGAACGAAGTCCTCCTTCTTCACGATTTCTGCCAGACTTCGAGTTAGCAAACTTCCTCTGCGGAGTAAGGAAAAAGGCCGTGAGAATGACGGGGTGAGTCACACGGCGGCGCAGGCGGGCTGGCGGGCGCCCTCACGGGCACTACGAACACATCTCGAGGGGTCCGAGCTGCTTAACATTTCTGCTGTGCAAGAAGCCAACAGTTAGCACCCGTGCTCCCTCTGACTGAGGAAGCGTTCTCCTCCGCCTGCTGCAATCATCCAGCTCGGCTCTGCTTTCCCCGACACCCGTGACTGAGAAGGGCCACTCGTAGACACAACCGTCGGCTGCCATAATCACGACGTTACGTCATCTAAGCATAACCTTCGCTTCTTCCACGTCTCCCTGGCACTGGCTGACACCAGCAATTGTGGTCCTTTCACCCACTCATCAACTCTTCCCCCAGTCTTTGGCCTCCAGGAATGAGGTTCCCAGGATGGACGCGTCCTGACCTGCTCTGGCACTGACAGCCCCACGCAACCCTTGATCTGGGCCACGGTCGGACCTCAAGGGTCACGAGCCAGGGGCCAGGCATGTGCCACACGACGAGGGCCAGCACAGCAGCGACGCCTGCGTGACCAACACCTAACCTCCCTTCCGGAACAGGTTCTGAGCGCCAGGGGACTGCTCTGCAGTGGCACTAGGACTTGGCCTAAAACAACCTCAGGGCCAGAGCGCGGTTAGTGAAATTTCAAGTGGATAAAGGGGTAAACCATGGCTAGGTTCACAAGTATTATTTAGGAAATAGTAAGTCAGCCTTGCCTGTTTCTGTCTGAATTCTAGGAACTTGTATTAATGAACTTCCTCCAGCAAATTAAAAACAGTTCCAGTTACTACAGACGGGCAAGGCTGGGAGCGTGAAGCCCATGGCACTCACTCAGAGCAAGCTCCCCGCTCCCCGCTCCCCGCTGAGCATCCCGGTCACTCCTCTGCTTACGCGTTCTTCCGCTCCAGGTTCTGAAGATTCCCCTTCAGGTTGTTGTATGCGGATGCACGGGATTTCAGGTCATTATCGATCTGTGTTACTCCCTTCAAAACAGAAAACAGTTAAAAACAGGCCAGATTTTCCAAAGCTGGCCCCCACTAAAATAAAGTAGCTGAACTTTAACATCTACAAAAAATACCACTAGTTCCTGATGTAAGAATATCCTATTGTCCAAAAGTACATTAAAGGGTCATTTTAAAAATAACCACCCTTGGGCCGAGGATTTAGCTCAGTGGTTCCACCACCTGCCTTGCAAGCGCAAGGTCCCCAGTTCAATCCCCGGTACCAAAAAAAATAAATAAATAACCACCTTCTTTTTTTTATTTTGCGGCACCAAGGATAGAACTCAGGTCCTTGTGCTTTCGAGGCAGGCTCAGCACCACTGAGCTAAATCCCCGGCCCTACCACCTTCATTTTTAATAGGATAATTTCCATATGAATATTTTCTACTAATATTTTACTCTACATGCATTAAAACTGTTATTACTAAATTATAGTATTTGGGGGGTGGCTATAGGGAACAGGGCCTCAACTATGTAATCCAGGTCAGCTTTGAACTTGCGATCCTCCTGTCTCAGCCTCTCCAGTGCTGGCATTACAAGCCTGCCATATTATTGCTATTTTACTTTAAAATTCACATAAACGGGTTGTAGGCCACTGGGTTTGAAGATGCTTAATTAAAAGGCTTCAATTCACAAAAGTAGAAGTTTAATTTCCAAAAAGAACTAAATTATAGAGTTTTCACTGTCATAAATTCCACTATTATACATAACATTTTCTCAAAGAAATTAAAATTGTAAATGAATGTATAAGTGTTACAAAGAGAACTAAAACTATTAACTGCTTAGGGAGAAAAGCACAGGGTTGGTTTAATTAATGTCCTAAGACCTGGCTTGGACTCTGCTCTCCCCTCACCCGGGGTAAGGGGCCAATCACTCACCTGAGCCTGTCTGCTCACCCACAACTCTACCAGGGTGCAGAGAACTGGATCCTTGTCAGGGACCCAAAGAAAACAAGTTCGGCTGCAGAAAGAGCACTTTACAGTGTCCAGCTACTCAGTCTTTAAATTACATGATGAAGGTAGGTGTGGTGGTGCACACTTTTAATCCTAGCTCTCAGGAGACTGAGGCAGGAGGATCCCTGCCTGGGCTATATAGTGAGACCCTATCTCAAAAAAAGAAGAAGAAAACATTCTACAATGACTTCAGTTAAAATCTTTAATAGTCTACACATTTCCATTTAACTAAAGTCATAGAACCACGGACGTCTGTCCAACAACTTAAACCACCCTCCCTCGGCCAGGCCAGCAGACATCCTGACATACAGGAAGTCCCTGTCTGTCTCATTACAATTTCTGTTAAGACTTTTCCACTTTCTCTCAAGTTTGAAGACTTTTCGTTCTTGTGGTATGGGGACTGAACCCCTTCCCACTGAGCTACACCCCCAGACCCTATGCCTTTCCTATTTTGAGGCAGGGTGTTTTTAAGCCGTTAAATTGTCCAGGCTAGGCCTGCAGCAGGATCGCAAGGTCTCTACCATCTGAACACCTTGCAACATCTAAAGGCGGGGTAGGGAGGGCACCTCCTGCATTTCACAGCCGGGTCATGAAACCAAAAGGGCCACTATAGATCAGCAGGTCCCACCTGTCCCGATGCTTCTCTTACTTTGGCAATTATTTCGGAAATGTTCTTCAGAGACTGCTTGATGGGGTACTTGGCCATGTCCCACTGGAACCTCGTTATGTAAGTGACCAAATCGACTGCAAAAGGGAACAAATTCAGCACGAAGGAGAAGCAGCAGGGTTTTACATCTTTTTTGCACAGCAATACTTTTTAATGCCAAAATCGACATCAGGAAAGACGCCACTTCTCAAGGGTCCTGACTAGGTAACATGGGGTAGTAAGAGCCCTCAGTGCACTCTCTAGCTGCTCTGGTACATAACGATGCCCCTTCTAATATGATACGCGGGTGCACGGAATATGTATACATTCACCACACGCTTCTATGGAAGAGAAAAGACAAGACTACTTCTAAGTCTCTGTAATAAACTTAATTTGATATTAAATTTACTTTTTTTCTTCAATAATGTCCCCAAACAAAGTAAAAAGGAACTTGTCTATTAACACCCAGTAGCAACTGTTTCTATACTTTAGCAATCTTCAAATGTGGACCCTTTCTTCTGGCGCCTGCCTTGCAGGTGGAAGGTCCCAAGTTCCATCCCCAGCACCAAAAAACAAAACAAAACAATGCGGACCCTTTCACTTTCAAATGGAGAAGGGAAAAAAATGTAAAGCCGAAGGGACACTGGAGTGTGAAGTCCCCGGAAGCTTAATAATCAAAGCAACTTGACCCCTCAAGCCCAACAGGACCAAGGCCAGAAACCCAAATGTCAAGTGCACCAAAGCTAAACAATGGAGTACTTCGTATCCAAGTACCTTTCTTTCAGTTTCTCCTTACAAAATACCAAGGAGTCAATGGCACAGATACTTCCACAAGCAACTTTAGACACACTGCCCCTCCACATTATCACCTCCATTTCATCAACTGGAGTTGATAAAATACCTACATCAGTAAAGGTGACATAAATTAGCATGTCGACCTTCTACTCTGTCCTAAAACACAAAGTAACAGAAACAGTAAGCAATTAGATCAGGATCACTACTATAACAAAAAGCAAGAATAAATTACTATATTTTTAACCAATTAAATATTTATTGAACATCTGTTCAAGGAGAAGAAATGAGATTAGAAGGGCACCAGATTTTAATAAACGGATCTTACCATTGCAGGCAATACTATATAGAATGAATGAAAAGGGTTACTTTCTATTTTAATGACATATCACTTAAGAGGGATCTAACTTAAAATGAAGCAAACTCATTAAAAAACAGGTCAAAGTAAAAATGACAACCCTGAGGTCAAAGTTACCTTTAGGAAGCCATTACCACAGAGCAAACTGTAAATATCAGCCTCTAGGTAGAGATGTCAGTCAACTATTTTATGGGGACAAGAAAAGCAATACTCAGATTTGAGGGGAAAAGGCATTACTCTGGAATAAAATTAATGATTGCAATTCTAGGGCTTCAGCAGTTGCATGCCATAAATGCAAAATGCTAAAGAAGACAGCAGCTACCAACCAAAATGATGCTGATATTCATAATGGAGAAAGTGACTTGTAAATATGAGATTTCAGAGTGAGCTAACACAAAGCTGTGAGACATATCATCAGCTATAGTATTTAAGAGTATCTTTCATGAGACTGTTGCTAGAGATAGGGTGTAACTGGCAATGTCACCAAATTCAGTAATAACAACTGTATTTTTTTTTTCTGGTACCAGGGATCGAACTCGGGGCCTTGCACTTACAAGGCAGGTGCCAGAAACACTGAGCTAAATCCCCAGCCCTAACAACTGTATTTTAATGGCTTTCTGCTGTACTTAACACCCTCATCTGGGCCAGGGATTTAGCTCAGTGGTTCCACCGCCTGCCTTGCAAGCGCAAGGACCCAAGTTCGATCCCCTATACCTAAAAAAACAAAAAAACCACCTTCATCCACAGATTTACAGTGGACCCTCGAGTTATGACTGGCCTGACATACAAACAACTTGGGTTACGACTAGAATTTTAGTTTTAACTTATGATAAAAGTCTTGAGTTACAACCCAAATGCCAGCTGTTTGTGCTTCCAGATGGTCTCAGATACAGACTTAACCCTCAAAGAGTTCTGGAAGGAACATGACAGCATCCTTCCCCATGTCAGGTTAACTGAGAAATCCTGGGCCATTGTCTCTCTAAGGACACTGAGATCTGCCTGACACAGGAGAGAGACTTTGAGGGCTGTGTGGAGGAGCCCGAGCCTTCGCTGACCAACCTGAGTTACACCCAGCCCTCAAGAGCGAACTGAGTTCCTAAGTCAAGGTCACAATTCCTAGCTAGGTCACTCGCTCCCTATGTGTTCACAGTGGTCAGTCAGGAGCCCCGGGCTTACCTCCATTGGCCAGCAGATTCTCCTGCACTTTATCTCTACTGTCCTCCAAAACGTCAGCCATGTACTGGGCCACCTTCTTAACCACCCTGTGGGGTGAGAAACAAAGCCAGCATCACCATTTCCAGGAAAAAGGACTTGCATTCCAGGCTCTCCAGCAGACACAGCATACAAAGACAGGAACTCCACTCCACACTCCAATTACACGCATCTAGGAGAAACAGCACTCACCTTCTGCCTAACACTGCAAGGATAACTGGAGGCTTAATGCGAATACAATCAACCTCTGTTAGCCACAGCAAAAACATGGGAGCAGCGAGGGAGACCTCGTGAACAGCTAGTGTGGCACATGGGAAGCCCGAGGGCCGAGGAGGGCTCTGCCAATGACTGCAAGCCAGACCCGCCCGCCCGCCCGTCACTCAGGCCGGAAGGGCGGGCCAGCAAGTGTCTCATGCACTCTGTGGGACTTCAGGGGCCACTGCTGTTCACAGAAGACACCAGTGACAAACTGCACAGACTCTTGGATCAGACCTTTCATTCTCTGCCTTCAGTGAGACACTGAGGTGCGAGCAAAGGAGGTAATGGGCCAAAGCCACAGGACCAGCTGAGGTGGGGCCTTGGCTCCGGAGTCCACTCCTTCTCCACCCAACTCCGCCTCTCCTCCGGGTTCCACTCAGAATCATACCCCACAAAATCACCGCCTTCACTCTGCTTGCAATCTAACTGAGGAAAGGGGAAGACACCCAAGGGCACTCGCCTAGCCGGCTGAGGAAAGAGCCACAGAGGCTACAAACAGCAGCATGAAGGGAAGGGGATTCCAGACGTTCAGGTCCAGATGAGGGACAGGACACGGGACAGGACACACACACTGAGGGCTGTGTGCTCAGGGCAGGAGGGGCAACAGAAGACTTGGAAGTGTAAACATCAACCGGTAAGGGCCAGAAAAGATGACCAAGGGCCGGAATGACAATCTTACACGGGCTGACCTCAAACCTGGAAAAGCAGAGCCATTTTAGAAACAACGATGCAAGCACTAGGTCTTCACCATGCTTAATCAGGGGTCTGGACACTTGGGGCACCTCCATGATATCTCCCTGTGTGCCTCTCAGAATAGCTAGGTCAGGCGTGGTGGCATACAGCTGTAATCCCAGCACTCAGGAGGCTGAGGCAGGAGGATCATGAGTTCCTGGCCAGCACAGGCTACATAGTGAGTCACAAAAAATTAAAAAAAACAAAAACAAAACAAAGATTATCCAGACCAATGACCAATGTACACAGTTATCTCAAAATAATCCATTCTAATGATCAGACTTTTGAGAAAGTATAAACTATGACTCCATACACCATCATGTTCAGGGTTGAAAAGCTGGAACAGCTAAGTCAGGACACTATCATGTGTCCTTCCACCAAGGCCAAACCCTACAGACTATTAAGCTTCCAGATCCTTAGGGTTGACTGCGGAAGATGGGCTCGGGCCACAACCGCACAGGGGCCCAAGCGCACCAACACTGTCTGAAGACTTCCAGGCTCCTGGTCTACAGATGCATACTCTCAGCCATGCTGGGACAGCCAACAGACGGCCAGGGCCTGCACCAAGGCCCTCGGGGAGAGGAGCAAAGGCCCACGCATCATACCAGCCACCGCATCCTCAGGGGCCTTCTCCTCGGTGTCTCAGGGAGTCAGGACCCGAAGCTGTAAGGACTGAGCAGAGGGACCCAAGGAAGACGGCCCTCTTGGGTAGGAGACATAGGTCTCCTCAGCATGCTTCTTAAAACACTTGCAGGCCCAGCATGCACACGGTCTGGGCTCAACCCCCAGCACCAAAAACAAGAAGGGAAAGGAAAACAAACCCTACAGTCAAGAAACCAAAACACTACCCTATCAGCTCAACCTTTGAGTATATCCATCAGTAATTACTCACAATTATTTGCTCTATGTGAATACATGAATTATAACCCTAAACATAACTTTTTCTTTCGTCTTTTCCATTCTAACGGCAAAGTGCCTGGCCTCATGTGAAGCATTTACTCTTGACTAATCTCTGGTAAAACTGTCTCCTACAGGGCCTCTTGCCGCCAGTATTAGAGACCATCACCACAACACTAGGTCTGTTTACTTCCTTGCTACGCATAGTTATGTTTAAAAATGTCTCGAGCTGAGTGTGGTGGTGTGTGCCTATAATCCCAGCACCCTGGGAGGCTGAGGCAGGAGGAGTGCAAGTTTGGACATAGCCTGGGCAACTTGGTAAGACCTTATCTCAAAAAATTAAAAGAAAAAAAGCAGCAGCTGGGCATGGTGGCTCATGTCTGTAACTCCAGCACTTGGAAGGCTGAGGCAGGAGGATTGTCACAAGTCCGAGGCCAGTACAGGCTACATAGTGAGTTCAAGGCCAGCCTAAACTACATAGTAGGACCCTGTCTCAAAAAACCAAAAAAAAAAAGGAAAAATAAGACAGGTGATGTAACTCAGTGCAAAGGCTCTGAATTCAATCTCAGTACAGAAAAAAAAAAAATCATTTCTCTTTGCAACCCTCAGCCTCTATGGAATATAAAAACACATATCAATGAACAACTCAGAGTACAGAAAGCTGTGCTTTATAGAACATGACAGAAGCAACTGCCAGGCATGGTGGCACACACCTCAAGAGGCTGAGGCAGGAGGATCACTGTGAGTTCAAGGCCAACCTGGGCTACACAGCAAATTCAAGACCAGCTTCAACTACATGGAGAGACCCTGTCTCAAACAAACAAAAAAGTGATGACTCCACAGAATTCAAGAAAACTTCTGCAAGTCAAAGCTGTTAAGGGACTGATAATTAGAATATGTAGAGAATGCTTACAACCCAATAATGAAAGACAAACAAACCAATTAAACTGGGCAACGGATCCAGAGACATTTCCCCACGGAAGAATGCACACACCTGTGGCCGTATGAAAAACAACTGTACACTTTAAACACATGAGCTGCACAGCGCGTAAATCCTATCTCAGTAAAGGTATTAAAAAGAGTATTTTTCACACTTCAAATGTGCATTTTATTGTGTGTAAATTGTACCTTCATAAAATAGATTTACAAAGGGCTGGGGATTTAGCTCAGTGGTTTCACCGCCTGCTGCACAAGCGCAAGGACCCGAGTTCGATCCCCAGAATCAAAAAAAAAACAACAAAAAAACAAAAAATAGATTTACAAAGAAAAAAGCCACTATCTCCTAAAGCACTCCATCGGCAGAGGGTCCATGGTGCTGGCCTGCACCTCAGGCAGCCCGGGCACAGGTAAGCACCTTACCCTTCCACAAACGCGTCCAGCTTAGCCAGCTCATCCGACAAGCCAACCAACACGTCCAGCGTGCCAACCTGTAAGAGAAAGGCGCCCGCGTCACTCGTGCTCATCCCTCATTCACGGCAGTACGATCTGACCGAAGGGCCCACTCTTAAACCCTCCACGCTTTATTCCGCCATGCGCCAGTGCAGTCGAAGCTGTTTACCAGACACTGCAAACCCTATTCTGCATGCACGCTAACCCTCTAACTCACAGATATGGGCGCCACACAGCACGCAAGGACTTGTTGCGGCAGGCCTGGGCTTGGGTCAGCCCAGCGCGCACTTAGAACATGGGCTGGAGCAGGGTCCACAGGTGGGCACCAGAAGTCTGCAGCTGAATGTGTACAGAATGCGTGCGACACTGTGCAAAAACAGCTGTATACTGAAGGAAACACCCTGTCCACAGGAGTCCTAACTCCAAATCATACTGATGACTTTTAGTGTTTCTTTAGTGAGTGCCATAGCTGGCTGGCAAAATACAAACATCACTGACTTCCACTAATGACAGAGTTCGGCCAGTGTATCACTGGTGGCCTGCCTCCCGGTGAGGCTGCCTGATTACGGGTCTTCCTCGCATATTTAGCAGAGGAACTGGACTAAATAACCGGGTCAGATCTGGTAAGCATGGCTGGTGGGTGCTGTGGTTAACACTGACAGTGTCGGCAGAACATGAACAACAGAAAAACAAACTCACTGATATTTTAAAAACTGCATTCTTAACATTTTTCCTTTATGAAAGCTGTATTCTGTAGATATGTATTTTCATAGGATTTCTCACTGCAATTTCAGGAACTGAAGTCCCAAAAGAAAGGATGCTATTCTGCTGGGTAGTTTACCCAGAACATCTCTGAGACAGGGCACAGTTTAAATCCTGCCGAGGTCAGAAGGGAGGGCACTTCTGAGGGAAGCACGACGTCACGCTTCTACCAAGAGGGTCCCTGGCCCTCTGCAGTGAACCCCATGCTTCTGCAGGTGCAGCTCACCTTTAAGTCAGGGATGTTGAACTTGGACGTGGCAGCAAGGTTGTTGTTCTTGGTGGTGGCAGTGTGCAGCTTCTCCCATGTCTGTTGACAGGTCTTCTCCCCGGGAGCCGAGATGAGCCAGAACTCAGTCATGCTCGTCACCGAGTGCTGCTGCTTCGGAAATCAGGACAGGAGCTGTGAGACAGGATGCTTACTGTCACTTGTTTAAAAACTGCTCCAGTGCTAGGGTGAGGGACCAGTGTCCAGCCTTGCTATGATCTGGACCTCAACTGTCCCCCAAAGGGCCTTGCATCAGGGCTCTGGTCCCTTCTATAGCATCCCTGGGAGACAGAGGGCCTAGATGGAGGAAGTGAGGCCACTGCGGGCATCCAGGCAGAGGACAGCAGGAGTCTGGACACTTCCCTCGCCCCTTGTTCCTTTTCTGAGCTTCAGTCTTACTGCGCTGCCTAGGCTGGCCTCAAACTCCTGGGTTCCAGTGCTCCTTCCACCGCAGCCTGCCCACCCATGTGAACAGGAAGAGGTCAGATTTGTGACACTACAAAGAGGAGCTAGTGAAAAATGATCTAATTTCTTTTAACTATAAAGTATCCTGATTAGGAACTACTCAGTAAGCGTGACTACCCCAACTTCTGGCGCCATGGTCTGTATTCGGGTGTCTCCCCAAAAACCTGTGCTCAGAGTGGGGGCTCACAGCTGACTCTCTCCGATGAGGAGGCGGGGCCTGGTAGAAAGAGGTGTGGCATGGATGGGCAGGGCCTGGGCGCATCTCCCTCCCCAGCTCCTCCCTTTGTTCATGCTCCCAACTGCCAGGATGTGAACAGCTGTCTTCCAGCAGACCCTTCCACCATAGCGGCCTGCCTTGGAGCCAGTGGGCTACAGAGGAATGGTCTCAGACACCTGAGGCAAAATACCCCTCTTCTCCTTTGTACCGTGGGCTTAGGTATTTTGTCCCACCAAAGAGAAAGTCACTAAGACAACCAGCCACCAACAGTTCCCTTCAACCAAATGAGTCACAAATTTACAGGTTCACCTTAATACGTACAACCAAAATGGGGAAATTTTAAAGTGCGTAACTTTCCCATGTGAAAAGTTAAATCAATGCATTTGAACAGCAGTCACCAAGTCCACTGGCCGCAGTGCCCTAGCAAGTTCCCCTGGGAGTCACACTGCCGGCTCATTCCAGTCCGCACTCAGCCCAGGGCCACCGCCTCAAGTTCCTAAATACTCTCGGCTGGCTGGTGTGGAACATTTACAATTTGGCAGGAGACTGTGCTTAACAAAAGCGACGGGGTCGGGGGGGCCAAGGCCCTGCCCGCCACTCAGGCTCACACGCTGACCAGTCTTCTGCCGCTGGTTTTCTTCATTCAACTTCTTTTTACAATTATTCGTTTTCACTACTGTATGGAATTCCATATATAAATAAACCAAATTTAATACACATTTGCTTTCGGGGAGCACTGTGAAAACTGCTTGCTTCTTTGCTGCTCCCCGGCCACACCCAGCCTTCCTCCCAGCTCCATGCGCTTCAGCAGCCAGGCAGGAGCAGCAGCCTCTGAAGGACAGGCCTCCAGGGGAGGGGCTCGAGCCGCTCGGGCAGACGGGGGAGGGCGGACCCACACGGTGACTGCACGCCTGGCACCAACAGGCACAGCTGGCACCAGCACGACACCGCCCGGGCCTTGGAGGCGCAGTTTCTGCTTCGTGCTGCTGCTCCCCAAGTGCTGGTAAGGAGCTCAGCCCGGCCTCCCGGAAGGGAGAGGCCGCGGCTGAGGACGGACACCAGCTCTACCTGTGACGCTGAGAGCCACCGGGAGCCAGCAGAGGCCCGCCTGGCCACGCACGGAGGGGCGAGGAGAGAAGCTGCTCCTGAGTGGAGTTCCCACGCCACGCGGCACCGCCACAGTCACCGCCAGTGCCTGGGCTCGGCATCCTCGGCAGGACGCGGAGCCCCGGAGCAGGGCCCGCACCCACTTCCACGGCCGAGCATGCCTGGCGGGGTGTGCTGCATGCAGCCATGCACTGGGAGAAGACCGAGCAGGCAGCACCACATGCCTTGCTGTGCACTTATTTGTTATTTTTTGTTTCAGTCCTCAGTGTTTGTTGTAGGGGGTGAACCCAGGGCCTTACACACGCTAGGCAAATGCACTGGCACTGACCTGCAGCCCTAGAGTATTTCTGTAAGAAAAGCATCCAGGGGCCAGTAATTTAGCTCAGTGGTTCTGGCGCCTGCCTCGAAAGCACAAGGACCCGAGTTCAATCCCCAGTACAAAAAAAAAAGAAACGCATCCAGGGCAGACATGGCAAAACATAAATACTACCTGTTAATTCCGAGTAGTGCTGTGTGGATGTCTGCTAAGCTATGGTATTGGAATTTTTTTGCTTATCTGAAACATTTCAAAATTAAGTATTTCTAAAACTTACAAGAGTATACTTAATTTATGAGTTCAAATATAATACTGGTTAGTAAATTAAGAAAAAAAGGAAACTTTCAGCCAGTACAGTTAGAGCACAGAATAATCTAACTAACCCTCCCCATGGGCCAACATCGCCAGTACTTCTAGTTGGACAAAGCTGCATGGGCAGGTGCCGGGACTGCACCTGCCCACAGCCAGACCCTACCCTGGGACGCTGCCTCCTGTGGAAAGGGCTGGAGGAAGCCTGGGCCCAGCACCTGCTTCCCGCCCTTGCGCTCGCCCCACACACCTGAGCTGCGCAACAGGTGCCACTGCAGGGCTTTCCGGCTGCTCTGCCCTTGGCTGTGCCCAAGCTAACATCCTGCACTCCTGCGCTTCCTGAACCCAGCTATCTTAGCCCAAGTGCCCATCCCAGGTGACCCTGACCTTTGAAACCCCCGGTTCTGCGTCTTGAACTCTATGTGATAATCCTCATCCTCTACGGGAGCAGTGTGGAGGAAACTGAGGTTCTGCTGTACGATTTCACTCAGGGGTTCTGTAAGTCACCTGCACTGGCACGTTTGCACCCCCTCTCCCCTGAATGGCGGGCCGTGTGCCCCCTTGCTGCGCTCCTTCCTGACAACAGTCCTCCTCTGTCTGCGCTGCAGCCCCTCCACAGACTGAGCTGGGACAGCAGATGTCACTGTCCCACCATCAGAGTTCTGGCTTCCAAAAGATTTCCAGAACCGGGAGGAGGACCCACTTCCCATCAACGAACAGCATCTGCCCCGTGGGCTCCAATGCGCCTCTCTCACATCCCAGGAAACGACGTCTGCTAAGTTCTGAACTAAGCACGAGTACCGTGTGCCTAGGAATCACAGCGTTTCCGTACTCCAGCCTTTAACTAGAGCATTCTCTTGCTGGGAGATGGGGGGGAAGGAAACGCTGCCTTTATGTTTCACAGACAACGTCACAATTCTCGCAATGACCCCGAGACACTCCAGCATCAGTCACCTACCAAAGGCCACACAGCTGGCACGCGGGATTTGACTCCACTGTGCCACACTAGGAGAGAAGGCTCTGGCCACACTGGCTGAAGCTCTGCAGAGAGATCCACATATTACCTTGAGCCAGGCATGGTGATTCACACCTGTGATCCCAGCACTCAGGAGGAGAGGCTGAGGCAGGAGAGATGCCATGAGTCCAAGGCCAGTCTGGGCTACATAGCAAGACTTTGTCTCAAAAATCCCCAAAACAAAACACACAAACCACATATGTGCGACTCCCAAGGATACCCTAGAGGTCTCATGAATTCTACTAATGAAAAGGAAGGCATCAGACTCTTTGATCTTCCTTTTTTTTGGTTTTTTGAAACAGGGTCCTGCTATTTAGCTCAGGCTGGCCTAGAACTCATGGCAATCTTCCTGCCTCAGCCTCCTGAGTGCTGGAATTACAGGCGTACACCACCACACCTGGCTTCTTTCCCTTTCCTCCCAGGATCATCATGGCAGCCAAGTGCTCTACCACTGAGCTATACTGCCAGCTTTCATTTTGTTTCGTTTTTAAGCTATGTCCACGAAGAACCTCTCACACGAGTAACTTAAAAATCATTTTTCTCAGCCGAGGATTTATCTCAGTGGTTCCACCGCCTGCCTCGCAAGCACAAGGACCCGAGTTCAATCCCTGGTACCAAAAAAAAATTATTTTTCTCTCTGCAATTTAAGAATTTAAGCCTAGTTCCAAACAAAATCTACCTCTGCAGATGACTCTCAGAAAATGAATTCACGTTGCTGAACACATCTCCTTTTCTCTGACTGCAAGGAAACAAAGAATCCAAACTGTGGCCATCGTTACCAGCTCACAGACCGCCATGGCCCACTCTTCCCTCACTCAGTTTACTCCGAGGTCTCATCGGGCACAAGTCCAGGCTGACCTGCACTAACCTGGAGATGATCCCAGGGAAACACGACTGAGCTGCCCCCTTCCCACCTGTGTGTTCAAGGGAGGGAGAGGTTCTCTCCCCTGATGGCTTTCCCGCCCTCGAAGCCACTGCTGGCTAGATGCTGGACACTCTCCCAGTCCAGGCTCTCCAAATCCCAGCTAACGGTACCTCTGTCCCACCCACAGCCGAAAGTGCATTCATTCCCTCCCCAAAGTTCTCAACAGTCCCAGCACTTTTCAGAAGTCCAAGTCAAGCTCCATCTGAGACTCAAGGTAATTCTTAGCTGTGAAGCTCTGTAAAAATAAAAAACAAGTTCTCAGGCCAGGGATTTAGCTCCGCAGTACCGCACCTGCCTCAAAAGTGCAAGGTCCTGAGTTCAATCCCCAGGACAAAAAAAAAGCTCTCATGGTCCCAAGGTACAATAGCACAGAGACAGAAAAACATTTCCACCCCAAAAGCACAGGGACAGAAAAGGATTGGATGGAAGCAAGGCTGAAATCCAGCAGGGTAAACAGTCCTGCAGCCCACGTCCAGTGTGCAGCACCCAGCGTGGTGGTGAGGTATGAGCTCCTCGGGCGTGGGTGGCTCCGCTGGTCACAGCCCTGTCCCCTCTCTGGGCTGGGCTGCTCACAGCCTGCAGCTCTCCTCAGTGGCCTTCTACACCCTGGCATCGCAGTCATCCTGGGGCCTGCACTGCACTGCTCCAGCCTACACTGCCCTCTCTGGGGCTTGCCTGGCCTCCCAGACCTTCCTCCCCCTCACCCCACCACTCATATTCTGCGTGCCAGTGAAACCAGCACCAGCCTCGCCTGTGGTTCCAATTTTCTGTATTAGCAACC